CGGACACCTACGCCGTTCTATTTCAGAATTGACAGACATAAATTTTATAGACACACCTCTGTCACAGCACAGCACACGTCTTTGTTCATCAGAATAGAAGAATCCATTGATGCGCCCACATTCTCCAGCCGCCAACACCAGGCGCTAAGATTAGCCGTCTTCTGGGAATCTACTCTGGACCGGAAGATATCTAAGCCCTCTTCAGGCCTCTTCAAGCTTCAAGGATCTACGGCCTGATCTTGTGACACCAGCTTCTCGAGTTGTTGACTTGCTGATAGGCGCCCGGATTCTCTTAGTCCCTTGGCCAGAACGCATTTGTGTTCAGATCGAAATTGAAGGCTATTCATGGCTCAAGAACGCAGGCACTATTTGCTCTGAGATCCCACCGTAGGATCAAGAAGCATCCAACAGTGGGCGCCAGTAGAGAGGCACGGGATAAAAACACCGTTTGTCGGTTTGGGGCTGCATTAGGCCAGCCTTTTGGAATGATGGCCCACTGTAAGAATAGCCGTAGTAATAGCTTCGACGCCCACACAGGAATGTAAAGCTCCATCAAGTGGGCTTTGTGCGCATGCGCAACCCCAAACCTCAACAGAACATCAGAGATAAGAAAGAATGCGCGAGTTTATTACAGGATCAAGAGTCACACTTCGAAAAAGGACCCGCGTTCGTCCATGGACCAACAATAACCAGGAAGACGCAGCAGCCGACCTTGCGATGAGAACTTCTCCCACTCAATGGAAGAACCACGCTGATATAGACCACCAACAATCCTCTCCAATGAATTGCCGTGGCCGGTCAAACACCTGTCACCGAGTCCCCGAACAATTTCGTCTTCAAGCGTGAGATTCACAACGACATCACATTGTGACTGTAGCTCTTGGAGGGCGACGGGGGTTGAGGCTTCTCGTTGTTGGACACCAGACCAGTAGGGGAAACTAGATAGGGCTTCCTGGTCAAGGATGCTTCCTGTATGCGAGGAGATAATTGGAACTGAAGGAGGGGGGAATGATGGTGGTGGTACTATAATCGTGGGCGGGGGAAGGCGTACACCGACAGTAGCATTGGCTACATTTGCCAATGCTGAGATATGTTCCACCTTTCCGCCTACGGTAAAAAGGTCTGGTCCGTGGCGCCCCATGATCTTCAGTTCGTCGACTCGATGAGAGACGAGAAACTCCGTGAGGGTGGTGGCGGAGCACCGTACTGGATGTACTGCATTGGCAATCCCTTCGTCAACAACACGAAAAACGGTAGTCGGTGCGATCGTGCCAGCGAAAATTGCCGCCACATATTCTCCCATTCCATCTCCGCCAACAGCTGAGATTTCACATCCCAGAGAACGCAGAGCAAGTGCAACGATTAACTGGTCCCACAACGACTTGTACGAGGTAGACCACATCGCATGTGACATTTCTAGGGCAAGTGATTCGCAAAGCGGATGCTTGTTGGCAGTAGCCACACCGAAAAATGGCACGCCGAACCATAATCCCACTCGTAATCGTTGACGCGGCAGAGGCGGAGGGGAGAGTTTGTCAACACGAAACGCACGGAGTGACTGAATCAGGTCCGTCCAAGTCTCTCCAATCCATGCAAAGCGGACGCTGAGGTGATCCCGTGCAACTTGAGTGGTCCTGGCGGCAGCTTCAAGATCGTCTCCACTAAGATGCTGATTGCTGAAGAATTCTAAGTACCGTGAAATCGACGTGCAGAGGTCGTTACCGCTTTTGGCGCTAATAACGAATACGAATATGGGAGAAGCTGTCAGCGCAGGAGGCGCAGGAGGAAGGGAATATTCAGAACTCGTTTCGCCAATGACGATATTGGCCAATGTTCCTGATAATCCAAAGGAAGAAACTGAGCAATAACGTCGGAATTTGCCGTGGACAAAGGGCGATATCTTTCTGCAGATATGTACCCGACCAGTTGAGATGGTGCTATTGAAAGGTCCAGTCCGAGGTTGAGGTGGAATGGCATTATGATGTAGACACAACAGAACTTTCAGTGTGCCTGTAACATGGTATGAGAAAATGATAGGAAAAGTGGGTTGAAAGAGACAAACCGGCGAGCCCCGCACACTCTTCAGTATGTCCGATGACAGCTTTCGAGGAGCCAATACATATGGGGTCTATTCGGTCGTTGCAGAAAGCCTCTTGCAGGGCTTCCAATTCGATCGAGTCACCAAGTCGCGTGCCAGTGTCATGGGCTAATGAAAATTATAGGATCAACGAGTTAGAGCAAAGTGAGGCGAATTACAGACCTTCGACAAAAGAAATTTGTGAGGCTGATATCCCGGCCTTTGAAAGAACTTCACGTAGCAAGCGGGTTTGGGCGTTGGGGTTTGGCGCAAAAAAGCCTCGTGAAGCCCCATCCTGCGTGATTGCACTTGCCAAAATGCAACCGTAAGGTTGAATTTTAGCGGCTGGTGCCTTCTGAAGTACAATAGCACAGGCTCCTTCACTAGCCACAAATCCATCGGCGCTTTCTGAGAATGGTGCACAGACTCCGGAAGGTGAAGTAATGCCGTTATGAGCTCGGAAGAGTGCCCCAGCTGGGTGAAAGTGTGTGGATACTGTAATGACAACGGCAGCTTCACAGTCGCCGTTGCATATACCCATGCATGCTGAAATCCGCGTTAGCATCATTACCTGTCTGTTAAGCAATAAAATTTCGAACAGCTTACCTTGATGTATTGCCACAGCACTGCTTGAGCAGGCAGTCTTAATCTCGATCGTCGGTCCAGTAAAATTTAAGAAGTAAGCCAGCCTGGCGCCAACTGCATCATCCGCCGACCCATGCAGACCAATGGCGTACTCTGTTTGATAAATCAGAAACAACTATTTGTAGGGGGGCTGTCCTCACGCACCCTCTAAATTCGACGCTTCCAATCTACGCTCGCGCCACCCTGAGTCGTTGACGGCGGTAAAGATACCCCACTTTTGGCCTGACAGTGACTTCGGTGCAATGCAAGCGTCTTCGATAGATTGATACCCGAGTTGCATAACCAATCGCGCGTTCGGGCTAAGAGAGGCACCTTCCTTGGGCGATAACCCAAAGAAATCTCTAAAAGATTTTAAGTTGTCGATCTCCGAGTCATTGAGCCAGCCCATCGGGAAGAAGGATGCTTCGTCTTTGCGTCCCTTTGGCCATCTTGATTCTGGACGGGTCCGTGACAAGTTTTTCACAAAGATGTCGGGCGACAGGAGGGCTGACCAGTATGCTTCCATCGAATCAATCCCACCCGCGAACCTGCAGGCAGCGCCGGTAGCAACGATTTCCTGAAATTGTCCTTCTCCTTGTATTTTATTGGAGTTGGCCTCTGAATCGCTGCTTGCCGGGTCCAATGGGCCCCTGACTTCTGTGAGCGGAGTCGTTGGGATGAGGAGATGGCAGAGATCTTCAATGTTGTGTACTGCGTATAGCTGTGCTGCTGTAATGTTGACAGAGAATTCGTCGTGAAGAGCTTGAGCCAATTTAATGGCCGAAAGGGAGGTGAGTGGGATGTCAGACAGAGAAGAGACCCGGTCCGCGAAATGGCTTTCAGGGATGCTGTAAATGTGTGATAAAATACGGGCAAGGCGGACTCGTGTAGTCGAAGTCACAGAAGAGCAGCTGAATTCAACTGGAGGAATGTCGCTAGGAAGAGTTAGTCGACGTGCAAAGTTGTCATCAGTGTCACATTCCTTGAGGATCTTCTTCAGCATTTTTCGGTTCAAAGTATGTTTCGTCGTAGTTGGAAGGTCGTTCACGAGGAAAATGCATTCTCGCCGGAGTCGCTTCTCGAATGCGATAGAGATGTTAACCTCCAAAACAGAATTGATGAGGGTATCATGAAAAAGGTGCGACAAGTATTCTGTATGTGGCTGGATGAGGGCGATGATGGCGTCCCCCGTTGTGTTTGGCATAATGGCGGAGCGCTCAACATGGGGCAAAGAATCTAAGACGCGCTCAAAAGCCAAAGCATCAATCTTGATACCAGATTTCAGAACAATCATGTCATCGATGCGACCAAGGTAAGTGAGACCTAGACATGCCTGAGGTCAGTTTGGCTGCGATGGAGCAACTTGATATATGAGGGGCCTCACCTGAGAGTGCTGGCCGGTCAGCATCAAAATCGGGTACTTCATCGCCAATGAGGAAGCTAAAAGCGGGTATATGTGAAGGGTGACTATACAGGTCCCCGGTTCGATATGTTGTGACTCCGGTGACTGTGTCGAAAGAGTATGCTTCCGTCTCGCGATAATCGTACCCAATAGGGAGATGCTACAAATCCGTCCATGAGCCAAATCTCAAGCCAGTTATGTTGTACATACTTTGCCCTTGATGATAAGTTCTCCGTGTGTGTCTGTTGTGCTTTCTTTCTGAAGCATTCCCATTAATTCAGGAATAACTTGCAATCCATTCTTCCGCTGCGATACATCTGCGGTGCGTCGGATTGCAATCGTTCCTGCAGCTTCTGTTGCACCAGAACAGTCGAAGTAAGTGATATTGTTTGACGCCGCCCATTGGAAAACACTTTCGATGGTGGGAGCCCCTCCGATGCCAACAGAGTCAAGGGCTCTAAGGCGTTCAATGTCGTTTTGTCCACATTGTGCAATGATATCGTTAAAAATGGCCGGGGTGGCAGCGAACGCTGTCACTGGTGCATAATATTCCAATCCCGCTAGAAGAAAGGTGGCAATCCGGGTTGTAGAGGAGGCTTCTGGAGAGGAGAGTATGCGGTCGAAGAAGATGTAAGCCCCTGCAGTTTGAAGGACAACACCACTGTATGAAACGCTGAGAATCAGGATCAAATAGCACTTGTAAGTTGTAGAAAGACGAAAGCTTACCAGAATGTTATACAGAATTCAAAGCAGTGGGAAAGAGGTAGCCAGCCCAGGTGTCGCTTTGGCTTTGATTTGTATGGCGAACCTCCTAACATGAGCATAGCGCGACGTCCTGAATGAGCAAGCATCTCGTGGGTGTATGTAACACATTTTAGAGACAACCAATCTATGGCAGAGCTTGTGAATAATGTGATAGCTGGAGTATCGGATTGGACCATGGAATGTATTCGCGTTGGGAACGGTGAGGTCCGGAAGTTGGGAATTTCGAGGTCAAGCCATTTTATGAAACTTGGGGCGTAGTTCGAAACACGTTCGTCCGTGGACATGAAAAATGGGGAGAGATGTTCTTTGGGAATCAAACTAGATATGTTGATCATGGCGGAATACTTTGCATGCAATCCAAATTCCTTCAGGGAATGTAGCAGGGAGTTCCGAAGGCTAGACGCAACGAGAATGAGATCTGGATTGACGAGGTTGATCATTCCAGCCCAGAGGGAGGGGTCAGCAACAGTGCTAAGTGGTACAACCTTTGCACCTAGCTCCCAAAGAGCAAACATGGCAAGGGGGACAAGTGAATTGTTGGGCGACAGGATGACGATGACGTTACTGTGGCTAGATGCTGCTAACGAGGGGTGTAGCTGGAGAAGACGATTTGGAAGGAGACCCACAGCTATGAAATAAGCTTGTGCATAACTTAGAGTAGATTGTTTATCTTCGACTAGGAAGTCGTGGTCGGGAAACCGTTCAGCATTGCGAAGAAAGATGTCGGGGAGGTAGGTTGACATAGTGTTGGTCGTCGAGTTTGAGCGCGTGTCCTTCCGCATATTTTATGTACTTCCAGATTTCTCGGTGGTAATAATATTCTGCAAAGCCTGTGATGTAAGAGTAGTCAGTCCTGTCTCTGGGTTTGCGATGAAGGGCGGGAGAAGGCATTTACCGACTTGTCAGCTGCTGATGATGGAATAGTCCACTACCAGAGTCGGAGCACATGTCGAATAGGCTCAAAGAATTGAGATGGTCGCTATGAATAGGAAGCATGGAACAAATTATCGGTGGATGCCATTGTGGGTCTTGAACCGTACTAGCATTGTCGAACGCAAGTCAGTATGACGGCGCATGATGTTTATGTACGATTGGCCAAACAGATGAGTCAGCAATCGAGATTGAACGTCCCAGAAGAGGGTTATTCTACACCAATGCATAACAAATACAATTCCACCAAATTTCCCGTATCTCCAAATACGCGAATCAATAAATACCAGCGCTCCAAACCTCCGTATTCCACGTTGAGCTCGTCGGCTGAGCTCATCGTCGATCAAGACTTGTACTTCCGAGAATGAGCATGAATAGTGGTGTCCCCCGAATTCGAATCGGCGAGTGATATCTTCAAGGGGTCTTCTGAACCTCGAAATTGTTGAACGGCTTTGGTGATCCGGATTCCGTTTTCCTGGGTGGCAGTTTCGTCGAACTGGGTTCCTGCTGCAACGCTGAGCTCGAAGGTATCCAAATCGCGATGCTTCCTATTTGTTGCACCACTCCCAGCATCCCCACGTTTTGCAACAAATGTTGGCAAGGTACGGACTGTCGTCGACGTGGAGGAGATGCGTCCGAACTTGATGTCGCGATAGACACGGCAGGCCATGGCGTTATTAATTGCCATGTTGGGCACAGTGAACATGGCATGAAAAACCGGCGGGAGTGAATCAGGCGCCAGAATCATACCCATGGTCAAAATATTCCCGCCCACCGTGACTCTAAAAGGGCAGATCAATAAATGCAAAGAGGACTCGCAAGTCGACTCACAGATAATATTCCTGTCCGCTTTGTAGCAAGGATTGAGAGAAAGCTGGAAGGCCCTTTCCTCGGAAGAAAGAGGCAACACGAGCACGCCAGGTATCCTCATAAGTGGTATCCATCAATAGTCGCCACGAAATGAACATGAACACGAGCGTATCGTTAACGGTTGCAATAATTACCCCGGCGGAACTGAAGGGTTTCACGCCAGAGTTGATGCAGTGGTCTGTTAATCCTATGTGGATGCCTTCGATGGCAAAAGGAACCGTAATGGATCCAGCGAGCGTGGCGATCCACAAGAATCCAAAAAGACCGACAACGTATACATTGTTGTTGAATATGGCCTTGATCCGAAAGAAAAACAGGAGGGAGGTGGCGGGAACAGCGGCTGCATAGCAGCATCCGATGGCCACTTGAAGAGCCTGGCAATCCCCAACTGCACCGACTAGGAGGAGGGTTAGCTGTGTCGCCACCAGGTGATATCAATAAGTCGCGCACTCGTGAAAACAGTTCCCGTGATAATATACGCAAAGGCCGCAATTCTGGAGAAAGGGCTCAGTCTCACCACTTACCTCTCGAGAACCACTTACCTCGAGAAAAAATATACGAGGGTAGGAAGGCGGATATTATGCTTCCTTAAGAGATTCCAGTCGTTCCTCATGTTGATGAGAATATCCCAGGAAAACATCTTTCGAGGGGCATGTCAGCAGAAACACCGGATCGAAAGGGGACAAGCACCTACCCCGCAGGTTGCGACCAGTAGATATCTCGAGACCTCGAATTGACTCGCTAGGGATGGTGGCAGCCATGCTAGAGGCGTCGTTGGATTGGGAAGTTGGGGGATGTCTGTAGCCATTGAGAGGTCTGTAGGGACTGTTAGCATGCAGAATTCAGTTTAAGCCTTTTGAACAGTCCACGGTAGATGGGAATGACTATCCGAGTTGAGCAAATGCTTTGAGAATAGAAGTAGACAGCCTGATCATCTCATGATACCGACGGACCCACATTAAGAAGCGGTGATATGTGTCCATGGGACGTGATTGCTCTGCGTTCGCAAATAGTTTGGCAGATGTTGATAGTGTGACAAAGGCTGAAGCGCTGATGGGCTTCTATCGAGGCGAATAATCAAAGTCCGGGCGAAGGAAAGCACAGCACCTCCTGATTCAGTTTCTATCACCATGTGCAACAACAGGTAGCGGAAATCGTTTGAAAGGTCAATGTAACGTACGAGAATGGCAACTAAAGTCAACAAGGTGGGAAGAGCCCCGAAAAAATACAGGAGGCAAGGTGTGCAGCCGCCCGAGAGTTGAATAAATCCTAAGTATTAGAGATCTGGTGTTTAGGTTGAGAATAGGCCGACTTCATTGCACTCGAAACGACGTTCTCCAGCGGAGTGTCTGCTATGTAGGCCGACAAGGACAGAAACAAGCCGGTTTTCGCCCCGTAGCAGTCCGAGAAACGAATGAAGTCAAGCGACTGCAATCCAATTGCATGAAGCGACTGGCGGAGTAGGTCTACAGTCGGTTCATATCCAAAAAGTTCCTTGAGGACCTGTAGAGCTATCGTATTTGCTTCTGCGACTTGAATTTGCTCTTTGGATGTCCCAGGGGTCTGGCCTCTGGTTGTCGCTGATAGGGTGTCTGAATCTGTCATCGAGACCGCTGCGCGTTGCGTCGAGGTTACAGGAATAGAACGGGCGGTGTCTGCACTGTATACGCGGACTTCGGACCATTCATAGCGACTGATGATCTTCGAGAGTGTATTGTGGGGTCCAACGTCGACGACTGGATGGCCAGGTAGGGTTCTTCGGACAAACACCATGCTTCCGTAAAAATTGACCGTTTCTCGCATATGGCGAAGCCAATAGTTGACACCTAAAAGATGGCCGCTGATTGTCGACGCGGTGACGCCGGAGATGTATGCCACAGAAGTTGTCTTTGCATCATACACTGGGGGTTGAAATTGCGAGATGGCGTTATCAATGAGAGCCGAATGAAATGGAACGGGGGTATCAACAAGGAAGGTTCGAACTCGTCGATGCTGGAGTTCGGCCTGCGCGGATTGTACTTGGGAAACACTGCCCGAAAGAACGACATGAGATGGACCCGCAACGATGGCGATGGAAGGAGGAGATGGTAGGCAGGCGAGGATGGGGCGAATTGTTCTGAGATCGCAAAAGACATTCAGCATGGCACCAGCCCTCTCCTGACTTCGGAGAGATAAAGCTCTTCGCACGAGCAGGTCGACAGCAACTACCTCTGGGAGAATGCCCGCCGTAACGGCAGCTGCATACTCCCCAAAGCAGTAGCCAAGCACTGCATGAGGGCGAATGCCATCTTTCGCCAGTGATTCTACCGTGCCCAATTGCATTGCGAGGGTGGTAAGCTGCTTGAAAAGCAACGATCTATGTCGAATTTGAGATAGATTCCAATTAATATGGATGAAAGGTTGTCTTACCCGTCGAGTTTCGACACATCGCTCAACCCTTTTCGTGACTCCTCGGCATGATTGAGAATTCTGTGGAGAATGTCAGCGTCTGGGACGAGGCCATCAACAGACAACAATGGTCCGAAAATGAATATTGGGGAACGATGGTTAGTAGTGGGTGGCTCGGCGACTTGTTGAGGTGATTGCTCGTCCAGCACTCGCTGAACGATACGCTGCAACAAGGTTCCAGAGATAGGTGGGCAAGCAGCGAGCGACTTGCTATATTGCATCGAGACTGCCACGTCTAGCACCGCATAGCGGTCTGGCATTGTCTCTATGAGGCATTCGAAGTATGGTAGCAACCGACGCACTGGCAGCGGCTCGGTATAGGCCTTGATGAGCTGGACATATTCTCCGAATTCCACTAATTTTGCAGGTGCCCCGAGCGTGAATCGGAATATTTCAGCAGCGGTCTCGGGCCAGGGAAGGGCAACGGGATTAGCCACATGAACTAAATGTCGATCGGGGGCTTGATCGGTGGTGGCAAGGTCGAAAAGGGTATTGGCACACACATCGGACGGGATCCATGCAACCGGTGGGAAGAGAGCTGGAAGAGCTCTCAACGCAGGCAGAGACGCGATGACCATGGGCATGAGCTCATCTTGCGACCAGAACCCAGTCACCGTATCGCCACAAACTTGGCCAACACGAATGATCGAGAGTCGGAAGGCGGAAGGGTCATTCCTATGCGTCTTGATAAGTGAGTGCTCGGCGATGAGTTTCGCGACGGCGTAGCCCTGTATAGTATGTCAATGCGCGATTCCTACAAGCGAGGGTAAATAACAGTACCTGAGAGAGTGAATAAGAGACGTTCAGCGGTAGTTCATTTTCTGGAACACGTTCAGCCAGGTAATTGAACGTGCTAGCATAGGACCCAATAAAGAAGAAGCGGACCAATTTCTTTGCCGAATAACAGAAGTCAACAAGGCCTCGTGTGCATGCAAGGAACGGTAAGAAGTCTTTGAGCGGCAAGTTGAAATTTACGGGCCACGCGAGGTGGATAATGCGATCGACGTGATCCAAGAGAGTTGTGTACTCAACAGGTGTCAGGCCCAATTGCCCGGCACAGAGGTCGCCAGTCTGCATGAGATGAAGTCGACCGTCAGTGAGGGCATCCTCGAGATGACGTTCGTCCTGTTGGAATCTCTTGAATGCTGACTGCAGGCGTACGAGGGGGTCGCCACGAATAATACAGTAGACATGGGAGTTGGTGTGGCACAGAAAGCGGGAAAGAAGTTGGCAGCCGAGCATCCCATTCGCGCCTGTTATGAGATATGCCAACGGAGGGCCTGGTAAGACGCTCGGATCCTTCTTGCTCAGAGGGGTTTGGATTGGCGCGCCGAATTGCCGTACAAGCTCTTCGAATGCCGCTTGACCGAGGTCGGGACCAAACACACCAGAGCCGTCTGCTGGATGAGTTCCGACGGGCTTGGCCGATGATGGAGCTGATGAGATATGGGTAAGAGCATTGCCAGGTGGTGTAGAGATTGAAATATCTTTCCACCATCTCTTCCTCTCGAATTGATAAAAAGGGAATGAAACAACCAATACTGGGTCGATTTCTGTCTTCTCATACGCCAACTCGAAGGCTAGTGGATGACCTTGGTCGTAAAGTTGCTTGGCTGCCTCAACCAAGAAACCTTCGTCGAGAAGTTTATGTAGAGAATCGCCGTCGGATGGCCGCTCAGCACTGAGAGGGCCATCGTCAGGAACAAGATTTAAGAAGTCGGCGGTTATGCGAGGATCTGTGGGTGCGTTGAAAAATCTTGCAAGTGTTAAGTCCTGGAAGTCTTCAAGAGAGCTATTCAAAAGCAGCTTGAAATCCTTGTATGAAGAAACGATCAACGCGCATCGAAACTGGGGGTGGTGGTCTCTGCAAATGCCGAGGATCGCTGCTATGTCGGACAGTCGCGGGCGGTTGTCGAGGATCCACTGTGCAGTGGCTAAGACCTGAGAGGCGAGAGCGAGTTTAGACTTCGCAGAGAACGGGAAGAGA